CTAAGTATCGTATAAACGGCTCTCACCTCTCCCGAGTCCTGCCCCAACTCGGCAGCAGGAGAGTCATTAAATCGCATCCAAACACAATGCTCTGATTAAAGCCAGGCTCCAGCAGGAAGATTTATCATCTCAATTACCAGCAGTGGACACAGCAGTCAAGGCCTCATCATTTTACATGAGCAAGGAGGAAAACAGGAAGAGAATCACTAATATTAGCCCAAGGAAGGTAAACAGCTTGGGAGAGAGATGAAGATTTATCTCTGGAAGTGCTTGGCCTGCGCCCAGTCTGGATTTGCTGAGCAGCCCCCAGGATTCCTGCCGGCCGCAGCGGGGCAGGGACAGGGACACTGCTGGTCCCTGGGGGGATGCAGCCCGGCCCTGCTCCAAAGGACCGACCCCAGCCATGGCTCTCATTGCTCCAGGCGCCCATGTGCCTCTCCACACGGGCAGAGCCCTCTCCATCCATCCCAGCGTGGCGCTGGCGCAGAGTGACATGTGTCAGGCGCCCTGCGCCGAAACCCCTCCATCACTTTGAAGGCCTTACCTTTACAAGTGCCCTTTCCACCAGAGTATTCAGACATAAATTGTACTTTAAATTCAATATCAGTCATTAATATTTCATGATTACAAAACGTTAAGGATAATGTCACTGGGAGGGATGTCTGGGCAGTTAAAATGGATGAGTCAGAGCAGGCTGACGGGAGAAGTCGGAATACTAAAGCATCTCCGGGCTGCCGAGGCGATGCGAGCTGACAGGCCTCCCCGCTGCAGGGGAGCCACAGCATTTACTGACTCGCTCTGAAATCCAAGCTGCTGCGTAGGAATATTTTCCTTCTGATTCTTGTCACCTCGTGTTTGCTCTGGATGCTGAGCTGCTCCATAACGCCCCAGCTGCCCTCCCCGCGTGGCCAGCACGGGAGCCCTCCGGCACGCTCCAGGGCTCCGCAGCACGCTCCCACGAACGCTCCCAGCGGGACCTGCCCAAACCAACACACCCAAGCGCCACCGGAGACCGGCTTCAGCCAAGGCCACGGAGTTGGAGCCGTTTGAGCTGTGGGCAGCACTTGCCTGGGCATGAGCCCTCCCGCTTCTTCTGCCAGGAAGACGCAGAAGGAGCCGAGCACTGCACCCCGAGCCAAGCAGCTCACGGGGCTTCCTGAATATGGATGGCATCTTATTAGAGATCAAGTGAAGCAAAGGGAAGCAGGAGCCCCAAGCGGAGCCCGGCAGACAGCGGCCCGCAGCATCCTGGCTGGTGCCCACCACTAATTGGGGGCGCTTCGCAGCCCAGGCGGCACCGGGCCCCGC